AAACGAGTGTACTGCCTACTCGATTTCTAAACCTTAACTTTCTCAAAATGAAAAAAAACTCCAACTATCACCCCATTTACGCTTTTGACCCTCCCTTACCTCCCCTCGTATCATTGTTTGCCCCTTTGTGCCTTACAAACGCCACCCCATACCCACAAAACGCCCTCAACACACCACGCCCCGATGGCCGAAAAAATCTGGCCAAAAACTTGCTTTTTTGGCATGCGATCCCTGTCAAAAGTAGTATTGCAATCTACAAAAACAAACAAATATACATAAAACTTTACACCCTCCACAAAAAACATTTTAAAAACAATTATTAGTTCAATTTTGAGCATTTTCTACAACGTTTTGACTGAAAACTGCAATTTTCAGCTAATTTCTGATAATCATTATATGCATCCCCCTCAGATTGTCAACGCCCTGCCGACCTAAAAGGTCCCTCGTATGTACTATTCTGAGATATCCATTGTTGCCTGACTGACCCTAAAATTTTTCCAAAGACGCCTTTGGCGCTAATATATTCCAATTTTGAGAGAGGAGAGATCGTGCCGAAAAAACGTGGTTTTTTGTTTTTCGTTCAAATTTTTCCAAAAAGTGCCTAGAAACGCCTTTTCCGGCCCATTTTTTCAAAAATTTGGCTGCAGTGCAGAAAATTTGGTCAAATTGAGGTCTTTATAGTGGTTTGAGAGAGAGCTCAGAAAATCAATTTAGTCAACCTACAAAAAAGTAGACAAAATTTTTGAAACTTTTTTGGAACTCCTCCCCCCTCGAGAAAATCCTAGATCCGCCCAGCATATACATGCATACAAAATGGAAAAAATCTATATTATGATTTTTCATTGTTTTTAATCTAATAAGGTGAAAATTATCGACTTTAATTGATTTGGAATGGATATTATTGCTTCATTGAATTATAGCATTAAACTAAATTTTCAATTGATTATAACCATTTTTTTTCACTTTTATAGAAGCTCAAATTTAACTAATTGTTATCTATGGAACTCCTGAGGGCGTTCTTGATTAGTTGACATCATTTCTTGAAGTTCAAAAAAAACTTGTCCGCCTGAAATACGCCTTGTGCCCGAGAGAAAAACTTTGCTCCTGTTTTTTCGGCGTTTGGTGAACCGCGCGGTTTTCTGTTCTCACTGACAAGGTCTAGCCCAAATTCTGGCTTCATTTTTCACAGACATCACAAAATCAAGTAAGTTTAGCCGAAAATCATTATTTTCTAGATGAATGCAAATTTTGACTTTTCTGATTGTCACAAAATTTGGATCTTCGGAATTTGGCAGAATAAACTTTCGAAAATTTTTTTGTTTCAAGGTCAGCCAAAAAGCAGAGCCGGAAAACTTTGAAAAAAAATTTCTGAAATAGCCGGTGAGCCCAAAACGCGTAACTTTAAACAATCTATTGGTGACAATTAAGGCTTTAGTTTGGGTAAATGGTGATGGGCATAGGTGGGTTTTGTAATCTAGTTAGCTCATATTGAATTTTGTTCCTTAACCAGACCAAAAATTCTCTAGTTATCTGGCTCTTTACCATGCTTCTCCAATTCGTAGCCAAGCTTTTTGAAGGTTGTGACAGAATTTCAGTCAGTTTTTGGACCATGCTCTTACCGATTGTCTCAGAAAGATAAGTTGCCGCGCAAAGATACAAAGATAAATCGCACTACGCTCTCGGCATTTTTATAAAATAGATACAGTTAACATTAAGCTTAGAGGAAACAATCAGCTCCCTCAAGACAAAAAAAATCAACAGAAAACTTCAGATTTAGAAAAAAAACTTTGAAAGATTTTTGAAGAAATGTTGTGTTCAAGCTTCAAAAGGAAGTTCTTGAAAACGGTTTTAAGAATTGAGTTACCTCAATGATGTCATAGATGTTGTGTTGACTTTCAAAGAAACATAGGAATATATTTGCTGGGATTGTTGTTCATTTAGACCAACAAAAGTTTCCAGCGTGATGGGATCGACTCGTAAACAGTCGGGTTCCCAGGCGAATTGGCTTCAACAAGCCTAACTGCGCTGAAGTTCTCCTACTCATTTTTATTTCATTTCAGTTCGTAAATTCAGTACAAAAAATCCTGCACTCATTAATCATTCCAATCTGAACTGAAGCAAATTAATTGGCCACCCCGCACCGAAGTTTCTCCGATTATTATCTATTATCTGGCGACTTTTTGTTTGCTTTGTGTTTTTGCATCTGTTTTGCATCATCAGGCAAGTAAAAGGGTACCCGCACCGAGCACCCATGGATCATAATCGATTATATTGTCATAATATGGTCAGCACCTATAAAATGACAAAATAATTGATTATAATCCATTAAAAATGGATTATAATCCTAATATTTTTTATCCCAATAAAATCCATTAGTGGGAACATCCTGTCTTTTGCTCTGGTAAACGATTAGTCTTGTTCTCTGTTAGATCACTTTTTGGACACTTAGGTATTTGGCATTTTTTATTGGCTGATGGAGGACAAATAACAAACATTTCGAAATAAATATAAAAAAATTTCTCTATCAAATTTTTTGTGACTATTCACAGGGCTTCCTGAAATCTCAGAGCTCTGCCCTGATACACGAGCTGCTTTGTTCATATTAAATAGTAATTTTAAAAAAGACTGCTCGTATCAGGGCGAAGCCCTGATTGTTTCGACTGCCTTTAAAGGTTTATGGAGCAGTAGTAACATAAAAAAAATTAAATGTAATAAAATGAAATGAAAAAAAAAAAAAAAAAAAAAAAAAAAAATCAAAACTTTTAAGATTTTTCACAAAGACACCCCCACACGCCATATAAAGTACAAAAGAATAGATTACGCTTATTGTAACGAATAAATTATCGCAAATGAGCGTCTTTTAACCAATTTGGAACAATTTCTAAGACGGATTAAATCTCCGCTTACGCGTTAATACCGCGAAATATATCGCGCGTTAATTGTCCCAAATTGACTAAAAGGGCAATCTTTAAACCCCCATTTCTTTACGAAAAAAGATCACAGGTGAATTATCTTTTCAAGTTTAAGCTCAGCACAGCAATACCTTTTGAATGGTATAAAAGAATTCCGCCATAAATGGCTAATTAAAAAGTCGAAATTTGTCTGAAGAAAAAAAACCCACCCGAGCACAAATATTCCCTTACTTTCGTATCGAAAGTCGGAACAATAAGACCACTCATAACAAGATGACTGCACTTTAAGGTCGTCGAAAATTTTGCTTTCGAAAACAGTTACAAAATGTTCAAAACAATTTGAAATATTTTTTATTTTCCCTGTTCATTTCTTTTTGATTTTTTCCGCACGCTATGTAAAGTATGTTATAGTAGTAAAATATATAATAAGTGATACTTTTGGGTCAGCTAACGTTTTTATAAGCACGAGGTGTTCTTCTCAATTCAGTTTAGAATAATTCAAGTAGTCGATTACTCTTTCAGACGATAAAATACTTTGCGCGTTAAGTACCCCATTTTGTATTGAAGCAGTCAAAGTATAAGCAAAACAAGACTGCTCGTGCATCAGGGCAAAGCCTTGAATATTCCGACTGCCCCTTAATTCATATCGGTTAGTTTTTTCCGGGAAAAGAATTTATCGCAATACTATCCATTTTGGACCGTATCAAAGATCAAGTGTAAAAATTCAAGTTCCGAAATTAATACGACCATTTAATTTAGCTAGACTTAAAACAAATTGGGCCGTATCAGTAAAATATCAGTTCTGGATCAGATTCTTGCAAGTGGTATTTTTTCTCTGATCAAAAATAAATCAGAGAAAAAACCGCAGTACTTCCATACACACATTTTTACATACAAACATACATAAACCCATAAAAACATACATTCATTCATACAATCATATATAAAACATACCTACATACATACATGCATGCATTCATGCATACAAACATATAAAGATACATACATACATAGATACATACATACATAAATACATTCATGCATGCATGCATGCTAACATAAACACATACATACATACATACATACATACATACATACATACATACATACATACATGCATGCATGCAAACAGAAAAACATACATACATATATACAGTACTTCCAGGCAAATTTAGTTGCTCAAGTCTTCTTACTACCAACGCCAACACATTTCTGCCTTTTTGCGAACAACAAAATTGCGTTTATAGGTTGATTTGAGCAGATTTTAGCTCTGGGGGGATGCATCAATTTAAAAAATATATTTTTTAACCAAAAATTGACGTGTTTGCAGACAAATTCAGTTACTTAAGCCCTGTTACTCCAAACCTTAACCCTGTAGGCTCTTTTTCCTTTTCCCCACCTCACATAAGCATCCTTTTTATGGTGTAACGAGGGGTTTTACAAGGTTAAACATGAGGACCAAATAGTTTGTCATGGCATAATCAGTTCGCATGCCAACTTCCAAAACATTCAGTTGGTGTGAACAAAATTTCACTACTAAAATTTTGCAGGTGGGGGAGAAGAAAAAAGGACCGCCCTGTAAATCTGCATTTTACGTGGTTTCTAGCACAGTTTGTACAATTTATGTCTATTTTAATCGTATATTTGATTATAACGACACGTCAAAAAACTTTGAAATCAAAAATCAAATAGAATTTTCGTATAAATTTTTCCAGTTATGGTTCAGAATAAAAACTGAATAAAACAGTACTGTAACAGTAATGTTACAGTTCTAGAACAGTGCCAGCAATTTTTTTCCTATTTAATCTCTTGGTCAGGTGAAAACCAGAGTAAAATATTGATTTTACTTTGATAGAGAACTGAATTTTGTTGTACAACTGGTGTTTTACTTGAACAGGACTTATAACCTCTGTGACTTCAACCCGGGTGTGAAAAGGTGGCGAATAAGGGGAAGAGTTGGGAGGCAAAAAAAAACTGAGGGAGGAGGAGGGGGGGGGGGGGGGAGGAGGGGGGGGGGGGGGGCATCCACTTCGCTTTCCCCAAGCCTCAATATGCCTCTTATTCACTCGTACTAAAAACGTAGCTCACCTTAGAATTGTCGACGAAGAGAACATTGCGTTGTAGCTCAGACGATTTCAGAGCATATGATGATAAAAACTAATATAAGAAATTATCTAAGAGCAAAAAGTATGAGGCGAAAAGTAAAAGTCTACCAGCTAAATTGTGGCATTTTGTCTCCTGATGAAATTGATGGAATCGCTGTTAGCAAAGCAGGTGCAGAATAACTGAGTGCCACGAAAAAACGAAGAAGCGCTACTGGAAGTTACGATAAATAATTTTTCATTAAACTTGTTATTTCCGTTTTGCGTCTAGTTTCAGCCGTTTTGTTTGATAATTTAATGAGAAATTTTATAACAAAATAATCAATAGTTATTACTCCATGCTATAGTTAAAGCTCTGCCGTTTTTTCATCAGACAAAAAAACGGTAGCCAAATGTTACCGCGCCAAATCTCATTCATACATTTTTTCTTTGAAGTTTGCCCTTCTGTTTCCAGCAACCATAAAACAAATACACGATTAGAAGGAAAGCAGTTGGAAAAAGTGCCGACAATTTTTAGCCTAATTTTAAACATGTCGAACAAAAATTAGTTTTTTCAAGGCCTTTCTTTTCGTGAAAAGTCTTGGTGATGGCAGTTAATCGGCAAGGTTTAATTGGACCATCGCCATCATAAATTTATCAAAAACTAATAACAGTTGAATCTCAAAAATAATAAGACGAAACAGGTATTCTTGATCAGGAAGGCTATACAGCGATCAATCCATGTAAACGGCACACATACAATTCGGCCAAAGACACTTCAGCCGATATGAAACTCAGACAATTCAGCCAAAGTATACACTCAATTCAACCAGAGACAATTCAGCCAGTTTTTCATAACGTAGATTCGAAAGAAAAAATCGGAAATGGAGTTATTTCTCGGTTTAAGGTCGCTGGTGGGCGCGCTAAGCACGTGTCGCCGCTTCACGGCGATAACCGGCTCTAAATTTTGTATAGAGTCCTACCCTCTGTTGGCCTGCTCGCAACACGTTGGCGCGACAGCGGCGGTCACTATTATTGGCTGAATTGTGTGCATACTTTTGGCTGAATTGTCTGGACGCGGTTGAAAACACCAAACAATATACTTTATAATAATCCCGACTTCATTATAATTTATACCTAAAATTATAACTGGTTGCTTCTTCTTTTTACACATAGTAGAAACATTAAAATGTTGAAAGAAGCACGTGTTTTGAATTTATCGCGTATTTGAAGAACATCTAAACTTATCTTGAAGCGGGGCTTTGAATCTTTTACCTTACTGCTTAATCGGCAAAACTGTTAAACAATGTCTTAATTAGTGTCAAATTATAAACACTTATCAAAATCATTGCATTGAAGGTCCTATTCCCGAGTTGACGCTCTCTCAGTTTTTTTTCGCTGTTCACAATTGAGAAAAAGCCCTAAGCGACTAAAAACTACGCGGTCGAAAAGCATGTTTGGGTCAGAAATTAGTAAAATTTAAGAATATCTGACTCTGTTCCACTCCTTCAACTTTCATTTTTTTGTGTATGATTGTTTTACGTGTTATTATGGCCTAACGCGTGATACTACGATGTAAGGTATGCAGATTAAATCAGCTCACTGTTGTAAGTTCGTTCATCGTGTCAAATTTCATTGAAAAATGACATCCTTTAGCAGTTTTTAAATACTGAAACTGAAAGGTGGTCGAAAAAGGGAAGAGCCAAATATTCCAAAATACGGACTCAACATAAAGGTTACAAATTAAACAAAACTGCTCGTATCAGGGCAAAGACCTGAATGTTCCGACTGCTTTTTAAAGTCTATGGATCACTAATAAAATAAAATGATTTTTTTTACAACAGATTTTAGGTGAAAATCATCTAACCACACGCCATGTAAAATACAAAATGATTAATTTTACTCCTGGTAACAAATCAATTATGGCAAAAAGTTTCCTTCAACCCATTTGGAACGATTTCTAAGACGGATTGAATCTCCGTTTACGCGTTGTTAGCACGAAATATATCGCTCGGTAATTTTCCCAAATTGGCCGAAATGGCAGTATTTAAACCCCCATAACCTTACAAAAAAAGATCACAGATAAAATATATATATTTTTCAATTTGAGTACAAGACAAAAATACCTTTTGAATGGTATTTAAAATTTCCGTCAAGAATAACGTAGTTAAAAAGTCGAAATTTGTCTGAAGAAAAAAAAATCACCCCGAGCACAAATATTCGTTACAAAATTCGGAATAATATACAAATTTTTTAAGCAATATGAATTGCCTAATCATCAATACAACATCACTTATTCATATCTGAAATCTAAATAAGCAAAGCTGCAAGCAAATTTATGAAACAAGGAAAAAAAATTTTTTGGCACTTTGTTAGAAAAAAAAACTTTCACCAAAAACTGAGCTTGCTCGGCGTGCTCATTCACCTCAAAATTAGTTTAGTCTGGCAGCAAAGGCGCCTTTAGAAAATGTAGGGTCAGTAAACCAAAAAATTTTCATACTTTCCTCGGGCGGCTACCGCTCATATTAATGATCAATGACGCACAATGGTTGGAAGTGCAGTTCACGTATATTTAGACGCATATTGATACAGCAGTCGAGCAAAACAATAAATTTTAACTCAATACAATGAGAAGTTTACAAAAAAAGAAGATTGGTTGAGAAACAAAACGCAAAATTTGAATATTGAAAAATTGTAGCCTTTAATTGTATGAGAAAAACAAATGTAAGAGTAGGTAAGAGAAATAAGGAATAATGAATTTAGAAAAGCATTTCTACCAAGCGTTTAGGCATTCGAGTGGACGCAAATTTATATTTTGAAGCTTAAAGTTACTTTTCTCGTCAAATTTTTGAATGTTTTTCAGATTGCGCACCCATCACGTTAATTTGTAAAAACCATGTTGCCACTCACTTGGAACAGTGAAATTAGCCTCTGCTAAAAAATGTTTAATTTTACCAAAAAATTCAAATATATTTCTGATTTTGCTTAGACAAAGGTTCCTCATAATAGTAAAACAACAGATTAAAGTTGATAGTTTTCTAAAAAAATCACCGCATTACTTGCTTCAATTGATTTGCATCAGTTCAATTTGAAATCGTTTAAATCTTTTAACCTGAATTGAGTTATATTCGATTTAAAAAATAGAACGTTTTTCAATGAAAAAGTTATCTCGTAGTAATTACAGTTGAAGGAAGAATGTCTAACTAAAATCAAAATCGATTCTAACTTTTTCCGGGTCGACTTACTCGTTCTCTTTGATATAAAGCATATACACATGGCCGCAATTTACTTTTTAATCAGTTGAAACAAGTGAAAAAAAATTTTCCTAAAGTTTTTGAGGATTAGAAATAATTGTTAACAATGTTTTGTATATCACGTGAAAAAAAAATCATTAAATCAAGAAATCCCTAGACAATCGTTATTTCATTTTTGAATTAGCTCCATTGAAATTAACTATAACTCGGTCAAAATTTTCCTTAACGACAATTCTTCATTTAAAAACTTTTTTTTGCTGTTTTACAGAGTTTAGGATATTCTAAGATCTCTCGAAAAAAAGTTTTGGAAAAAGGTTCTGCTCCATATTGTTTGGAGCAACTTCTGTAAATTTGGAATCTCCCACCGCTCAAAATACGCATATCATGGCGACAGGTGTCTTCAGAAAAAAATTTGGGGTTGATCAAAATGAAATGGATGTTTAAAATAGTTTTGAAGGGAAAGGGATTTTTTGGGTTGCCAGGGGTTGATTCCCTAAACTCGCTCCTGATACACTGTAGATTGTTTTTAAGATTTTTTTTCAGTCATAGTGCCTCAATTATAAAATCATTAATAAATGCTAAAAAGATGAATGAGTTGCCAAACGATCAAGACCGCAATTTGATTAATTGACTCATACAGGCACGGCAGCCCCATCGATTTTAGTAAGTCGTTTTCTGTGCAATCCATGAGGCCTTATTTTGCTTTTGATTAAGGTATCTTTTTTCGGTCGTAATTTTACTGATCGCGCTCCTCTTCAAGTTTAGTGTGTATTGGCGTCAAATGCTTCTTTAGAGAACTTGTAGGGTTTCTCAACCAACAGTGAATGCCGTAAAATAGTACCAAATGGAAGGTACGGTTGCTGCAAAGGTCCCCTTAATAAGCCACGAATGCCTTGTTTATCTGTCATATTGTTCAGCAATAACGGTAGTTATACATTTTGCATAGTAGCGGCGCGCTATTGTGCTTGAACAATGACTTTTTAAAAATAATTTTTGACAATTGACAAAAGAACCATTTTCTACATTAATTTTGATTTGTGTTGAACTTACACTATTGAAAAACTTTGCTACTTCAGATGATTTTTTTAAACTTTTCTCATTTATTGGGAATTATTAAGGGAATTGAAGTTCAAACTTTACCTTTAGGCATAGACTCGCAAATAACATTCAGAATTGAAGTTTGTCGGTTTGTTAAACAAAATTTTGAACACATTCAAATTTACCGCTGAAGCAATAAACAGCTGGCTGACTGAATGAAATGTGCAGGGAGAATTTAATTTCAATTTGTGAGGCTTATCAAATTTTTGGGAAATAAAGAGGCTTATACAGGAGCAGTCTGCGCAGTAACTTTTGGACTATTTTTCAGCAATTCTATTTTTTGTCTTGCCTTTTTTGTCAGTAGGTAATCAAGTAAATTTTCCTTCTCCAAGGGTGTTATTTTCTCTTGGGCTTTTCTCTTGGGCTTTTAGCAGTTAATAGAAATATTTACTTTTTGTTAGTCGACAGGAAGTTTAGTTCTACATAAGAACTTTCAGCGTGGTCTTCCAACTCCAGTTACTTCATTTCCTGATAAAAAGAACAAGAAATAATCAAATTATGTGCTTAATCAGAAACCCAAAAATAGTGGCTCAAAGCAAAAAAAATGGCACGAAACAAAAATTGAAACTGCTAGATCGATTTGTTATGCCAAAAAAAATCAAGAGTAAGGAGTTATGTGTCCGAGTTATGAATTGAACGAAAGAGTTGACTGAATGTCAGCTAGATGCATGGTTGGAACAGCGTCACTCGATAGATGTGATGAACAGAAAGGAATTTAACGATAGCAGATAAAAATAAACTTTGTAATGTTTTTCCATGACCAAATGGCTACCAAATAAAACTCTCTTCATGAAAGATATCTTGCTACTTTCAGGTTCATCTTGCTACAGAGTTTCATCACCAAACAAACGTTTCAGAGAAAGCCTTTCGAAAGACTGGGTGTCATTTTGTTGAAAAAAAAAACAAAAGCAGCAATTTACATGAAAAGATATTCAAAAG